ACATTTTCACACTGGTGTGTAAGGCAGGAGAAGGGCTGGTGTGGTGGAGTAGCCAAGAAAGCCAGAGTAATTCTGGCTTTGGCCACCACCAGAGTGTTTTTCCATGTGGGAAAACCCTAGTGCACACAGCTGGGAAGCAGGAACCAGGGCTGGTGGGAAGGAGATCTCAATGTGCTGCCTCCCAGGGATTACAGAGCTTTAGAGGTTTGCCCAGTACATGTTACACCCCAGGGTCAGGCTGGCTCCTCTGTCCTGCCCAAGATCCTCTAAAGCAATAGGAGAGTGGAGCTGTGGATGTCTGGGGAGGGAAAAGAGCCCTGTGGTGGCCTCATGTCCTGGGCATGAGCCCACTCCCTGTGCTGGACTGGAGCAGGAGTCCTGCCTGTGCCCTCTCCAGGGGATGCTGAGCTGGATTTATCTTGACTGTTAATCAGAAAGCTTCATATAACATGTCCAGAGCTCTAAAGCCATTTTGTAAGATAGCAGTGTCCCTTTTCTACAGCCTTATTAATGAGTAGAAGATCTTTAAAATTAAGAAAACAAACAAACAAAAAAAAAAACGCTCATTTCTTTCTGTGGTATGAAACTTGTGTACTGCGAATTCTGAACATTTAGCAAAAATACAACTTACAGTTTTCTTAAAAAAAAAAAAAAAAACAAAAAAACCCAACAAAAAAATCCCCAGCCTGTCTGCTTTCCATACGGTCTTTCCTCAGGTGCTAAATAAGGGTTCCAAAAATGGATACTGCTTTAGGAGTTTCTGCTTTATTCTTAAAATACATATTTTTTTGCTTAGGTGTTGTAAAGATATTTTAACAAGAATGTTTTTTTTAATGTAAATAAGATTGTGTCTTTAATTTTTGTTTTATCTCCTTTTTGTCCATATTGAATAGTCTAATTTTCATTTTTGAGAAGGACCCTCTTATGCCCTTCCCCGAAGACATTTCATTAAGTGTTGCTGCATTTAAGAACGAATCTACAACTGTTCATTGTCTTGGATTAATGCTGATGCTGCTGCTATAAGTAACCCTGAAAATCAAGAATGTGTGATGCACTTTTGTTTTTCGTTTTCGTTGTTTTGTTTTTTTAACGTGACCATGTAGTTCCTCTGCAGATAGCTGAACCCTCCTGTAACACAGCCACTAACTGGGGGAGTGTAGGAACTGGGGGAGCTGGGGTGTAGGGCAGGGGTGGACCTGATTTTGGTGCTGACCTATGGGAATTTCTATGCAAACGCAAGCAAAGGAGAACTCTTTAACTTGAGAGAACACTGTGCTTTTTTATTTTATATTATTTCTTTTTCTCTCCTTCCTTTTCTCAAGCTGCTATTGGAAGGGTAGTGCAAATCCCCGAGGTTTTCAACTTCTCCTTCCTCCAGGGCTGGTGGTGCAGGAAAGGTGCCTGAGTAACTTGTAAGGTAGAAAAACCTCAGTCAGCTCTTGTCTCGTCTCTGGTTTTAATATATTTGTTTTCTATTTGAATTTATCTATAGAAGGAAATTGCTCATCTCTAAAAAAAGATCTTTTGAATGCTTTATCTCAATGTGAAGTTAACCAGCAGTATTAAGGATTGCATGGCCTCCGTCCTGCCCTTATCCCAGTGCTGGGGACCCACCAGCTCCTTCTCCACCTGGGGAGCACTCGGTGCCTGGGCTTGGATGTTTTCCAAGAAAAAAGTGAGGTGAAGCCATCCACCCAGGCAAAACCTGCCAGTAAAAGGCTTAGGGAGCAGTGGAGGGAGGTCTCACTGCATCAAGTGAGGCACAGGCAGGTCCAGAACCTCTTCTCTTCATGGGTCACACCTGGACCGTGGTGGGAGATGTGTACCCTGGAGGAGTTTACTGGAGGGGAAAAAGGGATTTTACTTGTCTATTTATAGAAGATCCTTTAGGAATATACCTCTCTGCAAAGTGGGGGAAGAGTAAGGAAGGTCTAAAGTCGTGTAGGAAAAACACTTGGGGATTACAACTGCCTGGAAAATAGTCGACAAATACATAGGCCAGAGCTTTCTGCCTGTCTAGTTAGTTTTTTCAGCATCATTTTATTTCTTTTTCAGACAGCGTTTGCTCTTTTGCACACTGAGGTGTGTGTGTACATCTGACTCAATGTGCCTTGCATGTGTGCTTAGTCTTTCTGGAGAGAGGTGCTGGGGTGTGAGCTGGGGATGTGGACTTGAGGGCCACTCCCCATCCACAGTCAAGGGTTCCTTAGTGTCCCAGTGACCCTTGGGATCAAAATGAGACCTGGACTCCAGCTTGTGTAGTGGCTGTCTTAGTTTGGGGATGATGTCCTGTGCAGTGGCACCTGTGACTTTGGAGGGGGGTGGGAGAGAGAGAAGGAAAAGCTGCTTTGCTCTTCTGCGGACAAAAAATCAGCATTGCCACGGTTCACCTGCAGAGCCAAAACAAATCGAGTCTGGAACCGGCTTTGCTGGAGTTCAGGCTCTCTGTGGCACCATGATCCCATTATCCAGGGGATTTATTCCCTGCCAGGTTGTGGTTCTTGTTTCTGTGGGGTTTACAAGATTTTTTTTGTGAAGGAGAAGTCAACACGCCTTGCTTGAAGTTAACGAAATCCAAACGCTTGTGTTTGCAGTCAGTGACTCAGAACTCCAAGCTGTGCAATTCTGGGTTCTCCATCTCCCGCCCCAGCGTGTGATGATTCTGTCCGAGTCTTTCTGTACTTCTGCCACAGTAAATGTGAAAGCTTGCTTGCATTATTTTTTAGAAATGCATTTTGCACACTCGGGTTTCGCTGAAGCTCCGTGAAAAGGTTAGTTTGAAGCAGATGAATAAAGCTATGCACATGTTTTGAAAGTTTAATTTGTGTCTCATTACCAGAAGTGACTTATCTGCCCTCTTTTGCATTCCTGTGCTGTCATTGCCTCCATTCTCTTCACCATCTCGGAGGGTATGATGTAAGGTGACAGTTCTTTGCTGACAGCTGTAGCAGAAAACTGGCGCTTCTTGATTTTTTTAGTAGCCTTTCTCTCTCCTTTGCTTTCTCTGTATCTCTCTGTATAGCTATATAAATATATATATTATTTTTTTATTTTAAAGAGCCTACTTTAGTAATTGAATCGGAGGGAGCGGGGTGTGCTGGCTTGTGTTTCAGATACACTTTGTGCTGTCGGATGAACCAGTGCCCTTCTTGTCTCCGGGGAGAGCGTGCTGGTGGCACCCACTGGTGTCCCCACGGGGACAGGGAAGTCCCCACGCAAAGCAGCTTTGGGGAGGGGATGGAGACCAGTCCACTGCGCTGCAGGCCGGTGGCGTGGGCAAACTCGAGGCTTCTAGTGACAAAATGAACCAAGAGGAATCCTACTGCTGTGTATTCCCACTGTGAGGCAGGAGGGACAGACAGGGTTCCTCACTATCCCGCTGCGAGGCTGGAGTGGAGACGGGGTTCCCTCCAGCCTCAGGGGTGAGAGCTTTATTTTGGTTTTGTTTTCATGCGTTAGGTGCATTGGGTTGCAGGTACCACCTTTGGAAACATGTTGCTTAGCCCAGAGCCTGTGTGCGGGAGAGTCGGGATTTTGTGACGGGAGAAGGACCCTGACAGCTTTCTCCTCCTGTTCCCTTCGCCATGGCAGAAATTTGTACTAACTTGACAGCTTTTTTTCATACAGAACAGGGCTGCTTTTCTATCTACCATCACACGTGTACTTACACACCTTCAGCGGCTTCGCAGCCTCTGAAGGTCCTCAACTTGTTTACTGGGGGGACTGATGCCCCTCTCTCCCCCTTCCCTGAATATTTCAGTGTTAAGGGCGGTGCAAAACACAACCGCGCGCTTCGACTGCGAGCTGGGGCTGGAGGGATCCCTGCAGGCAGAGCCGGGCAGGGCCTGTCTCCTCTCCTGCCCCCCTTCCCCGTCGATAAGTTCTCATTTCGTTCCTGGTTTGTACTCAAATCGCTGCGAGGGGTTGTGCTCTACCTGCTCAGGAGCTGAATTACCTCTGACCTGCGGAGAGGGGCAGCCCCTCTTTGGTGTCGACGTTGTAGTGTGCGACCACACGGATCAGTAAAGGTAGTCTTTGTTTCCTTCTCCCCTCCCCGGTGATTTCAGATTAGGTTAATGCACTCGGTGTGCCCAGCTGGAAAAGCGTAGGCGTTTTCCCAGTGGTGAGAGGGTGGCTAGAGGAGTTTAGTGTAAAACCTGCTGTAGCTGTGTCTGGCGCAGCCCCTTGCGCTGGTGTGGGTGATGTCACGGACTGTAAGGATAGGTAATGTCCATGAGCTGTAATGGCATGATGTATCTTTACCAATGATGTCATACTTCACACTAAATGTTTAAAAAAAGAAAAAAGAAAAAAAAAAAAAAACAACCTTACCTGAAATTTTGTTTATTCTGCACCAACAGGTCTTCAAAATTTATCCAAATTTTATTATTTTATCAGGAAAAAAAAAAGAAATTTGTGTAGATCGAATACGTTAAGACAGACAATAAGTGATGTAAATTGTTGAATAAAAATTTTAAAGTTTGTGGGTGTCAGTGTGACTTTCTTTTTTGCGTTTTCAAGGAGCAGCCTGGGTTTAGATCCCAGAGGCCTGGCAGTGCTGGCCATAGAGCCCACGAGCTGTGTGTACACAGGTGGGGTGGATCCAGGTGTCCTTTACTTTGTCAGGGGAAGGAGAGGGCAGGGAGGTAAATAAACAAGGGTTTCTGTGCAGCAGTGGGGGTCTGAACCTCCCTCAGTGTGAGCCCCACCTCACTTAAAGCCCAGCTTAAAATAAGTAGGAAAGAGTCTGGTCCCTGCTGGGTTGGGGATGTGCCACCTCAATCCCAAACACACACCAGGAAACACACACCAAGCTGATTTATCTTTTTCTTTCAGTCACATTTATTGGCAATTGTGGCAGTCGGTACCGTTTTGGGAGTGTTGTTCCATAAGCAGTGGCAGAACGAGACGGGGTGGTTATTTCGGGAGGGGAGTATTAGCACCAAGAGGGAGCCGGTGAGCCTTCGAAACCTTGCAGAGATGTACTGGGAAGTGGGGAGCTACTGCTGGACACGCCTGATGGATTGGATCTGGGAGGTCTGGGCGTGCGAACCCCACTCTCTCCAGTGCTTGTAGTCTCCACCGTGGTGGTCAAACTCCAGGACGTACTGGTAGCCACGGTACCCGGGATACTGGTAGCACACCCAGCTGGAAGAAAAGGACAAAGAGGTAAGCGGGGGGGTTACAGGATGTCCCCCTCCCGCAGTGGTGGCACAGTGGTGGCAGGGGATTGTCCCTGCTGCTCCTGTCTGTGGCCGTCACTTACGCGCCGCACTGGATCTTCATGGAGCCCACTTCGTTGTTGGCCCAGCCCATGGCCTGCAGCGAGGGGTAGTCATCAGCAATCTCCCACTGGCGGCCGATGAAGTTGTCTTTCTCAAAAATGGTGATCTTGGATTCCTTGTGATTCTGTGGGGGAGAGCAGGGGGTGAGGGGGAGGTGGTGCTCCCTCCCCAGCATGAGTGGGAATGGCAGGGCTGTCACTCCCTGTGGCATTACTCAGAGGGTTCCTGGAGATGGAGGTGTTCAGACCCTGGTTGGTTGGAGTTTTCTGGGTGGCTGGGAGGTGTCAGCTATACCACAGCTACTATCTCAGGCTGACTGTCCCCTAGCTCTGGTCATGTACAGCTTGCCCAGAAATTCCTTCCAAAGCTTTTAAAAACAGAACAGAAAGAGCAAATCCTGCTGGGACTGTGGGGGGAAGCGCTGAGCCTGCCCAAGGCATAGCTGTGTTTTCCCTTCCTAACCTCCCTGCTGTGGCCTGGGACATTTTAGCGGGATCAGAGCTCCGTGGGACACTCACGGCGGAGCAGACGGGGCGGAAGGACATCAGGCGCTCGATGTGGTAGGCGTTGCTGCCGCTCCAGGCGTCCCAGCGCGGGTACTCTCCCCTCTCCAGGATGAACTGCTGCCCGCAGAAGCCGGTGTGCTCGTAACCCACCCAGCTGCAAAAACAGAGCGAGGGCTGCCAGGGCTTCCTGCAGCAGCTCGGGGCATCCTGCTGGAAGCTGGCATTAGGGGCAGGATGTAGGTGCAAGGAGGAGGTTGGGGTCTGGCCTCTGCCCACAGGTTGGGAGGAGAGGAAGCGGTGCTGGATGTGGGCAGAGAACCCAGGGAGTGTGAAACTGCATCTGGTGCTGCAGAGGCACCCACACGGCATCCCTGGCTGCAGTGGGAGGTGGGGAGATCCGGGGGTCCATCCTGCACAGGTGGCTCTTCCCCCTGGCTGATCTGTCATCATTTATGCAGACCAGCATCGCTTCAGGATGCCCCAGCTGACCTTCTCTCCCAAAAGCCTAATTTCTCACTTGTTTCCCAATTACAACCTGACACTGCTGGAAAGACCTGAATTCCTGATGCCCACAGCAGGCAGAGCCCATCTGGCTCTGAGCAGAGAGCAGGGATCTATGGCCTTTCCCCTTTCTGCCTCCCCCTCTTGCTGAAAACAAACAAGGAGAGGTGAGTTGGGATGCCTCCACCCTGCAGGACACATTTTGCAAGCCCTGGTGCTGCCCACACAGCACCTGCCTGTCCCCAGGGTGGGGATGTCCCCCTAAGGAGACTGGGGACAGAGCCACAGGCAGAGCAGGGAGACAGAGCCTGGCGTGGGGGTTGGAAGGTGGGTGGCACGGGCTGTGCAGTGCATGGATCCCCTGCTGATGGGGTACAAAGGGTGCTGAGGGGGTCGAGGGTTTCCTGCCACTGACCCAAACTGAGCCCCAATGCCATGTCCTGCAGCTAGCCCACCCTGTGCAAGGTGAACAGCCTGATTAGGAGCACATCAACTGGAGCAGGGAGCTGATTACAGCGTGAGCACGCATGCTGCTGTAATCCCATTAGCATTACACGTCCTAAAGATAGCAGCACAAATCTGTCTGTCTGCTCCCCGCCCCGACGGGATGCGCACCGCCGGGACCTCTCCCAACACCCCGCCCCTCTGAGCTGCTCGGGAGGTGCCTTTCCTGTGCCAGGGAAGATTCCCGTGCGCAGGGAGAAGCCCAGCTCTGCTCCCTACCCCTCTCAGGACTGGAGAAGCTGCGGGAAGGTTCTGCCCTGCTCTAGGAAGCTGTGCAGTGGCAGGGAAAGGCCAGGGCAGAGCAGGGCTGGGCCCTGGCCAAGAGTGGTTCTCTAGGGCTGGTGCTTCAGGACAGGGACCAGGCTAAGCCAGGCCACTCCCTGAGCACTGACCCTCTCTGCATCCTTGGGCAGCAACCCTGCTCCAAACCTGACTGGTCCAGCACTGCAGGAGGCAGTTTTGGGTGATGCCAAAGGTGTTGCCACTGTCCCCTGGCCCTCTGTCTGTATCAGTGCTGCCCGGGGGCAGGCTGCTCTGCCCTGGCAGGGTGGGATCCCCCCATGCCTGGCTTCCCTTGGCTGTAGTGCTTGTCTCCAGCCAAGCAGAGCGGGGACAGCAGGTCCCACTCCACGCTTGGGCACCCCTCTCCCAGCCAGCGTGCCTGGGAAAACATCCCCTCCTCTGGCAGCTGGGTACTCACGCGCCACATTCCACCTTCAGGGAGCGGATGTTGTCGAAGCCACATTCCATGATGTTTGGACAGGCCGAAGTGAACTCCATCCTCTTGCCCTGGAAGTTTTCCTGGTCGTACACGGTGATCTGGAACGGAGAGCGAGCTGCCGAGTTGGAAACTGCCCAGCAGTGGCCCCAGGCAATTCAGCACCTCTTGGAGACGGAGGGTGGCTCCGTCGTCGGGGAGAGAGAGCCAGCGGAGGCTGCACCGGGCACCCTCTGGGCTGGACACAGCCCCGCACGCCTCCGCGTCCCTGCACTGCTGGCCCCGCCATGCCCTGCCTTGGTGTCGGGGGAGCCGCAGGCTGGCCCCCGCTCCGCTCTCCTGCTCACCCCTGCGGAGATCAGTTCCCGGGGCAGCGGTGCCGTCCGGAGAGAGGAGCGGAGCCGTTCTGGGACGGGCGGGTGGCAGGGCTGTGGCTGGCGGTTCTCCCGGCCTCTGCTCCGAACGCTCTAGGGCAAAGAGGATTAACGGGGGAAAGGGCGAGGGGCACCTCCCTGGGGGCTGTGGCTGACGCTTCCTCTCCCGCGACAGCTCCAGGCTTCGACGGGATGCTCCTCACTTGTGCACGTGTTTCTCCTCTCCATCTTGGCTTCCTCCTCCACCACTAGCCCCGGGGCTATTGCCAGACCCCTTGGGGCTGCTCCCCATCTTGCTCCACAGTGCCCACTGCCCATGCTCACCGTCTGCATGGACAGGGGAGGGTGAACTACAGCTGGTGGCTTTTGGGGACTCTGTAACTGCCTGTCATGGGGTGGCTGGTAAGAGCAGGCACAGATGGCCCGGGGTGCTGTGAAGAGCCTTATGAAAAACACCCGGGAGGAATTCGAGCAGGCAGGAGGCACGTTCCCAATGGCAGAGGACAGGGGTGCCTGTTTCCTGTGCTCATCCCTGCCTTTCTGCCTGCTGTGCAGCTTTCCTGGCCCCAGAGGATGAGCTTTGCCCTTCTCCCTGTTCCCTACCTGCACACAGGGAAAGGTGCAGGGAATGTGAGGACGTACCTTCCACGGGCCCATGGGAACAGGCAGAGGGTTCGTCTGAGCCATCTTTGCTGCTGGATCGGTGTCTGGAGAAGGAAGGAAAACCCATTTTTACTGCAGCATGTCCCTGTGCATCCCCCCCTCACGAGGCTGGGGACAGCTCCGTGCCCACCACCCACAGCGCCTGTTCAAGGACAGCTGCCCCACTGCTGGGGACAAGCCACACCAGTCACAGCAAGACCCTCTTTCCAGCCCCAGGATGGGGAACAGGACACAGTAGGGAGCTGTGGGACACATCCAAAGCAAGGTGCTCCCTTCTCACTGCTGCAGAGCCCCTTCCCTCCTCCCTGCCGTGACATGGAGCCTGCACACCCACTAGGCATAGTGCTCAATCCCCCTTTCTCCTTCCCCGAGGCCAGACCACCCCTAGGAAAAACACCCCTGAGGCAGAGCAGGGGGCTTCAGTGGGCACGGGCTGCCCTGTGCCTGGCACTGTCCAACAGACCTGTCTGATCCCCTCTCCCTGCCCGGTGTGCCCTGGGAGGCACAGTGGGCTCCCACGGACAGCCCTGGCTAAAGGTGGGAGATGCCAACCAGCGTGCCGTGCCGGTGGGTGCCAGCAGTGGGGTGCCCTGCTGTAGAGGGGCTCTCAGCCCCCGCGGCTGCCAGCAGGGACGTGTGAGCCTGTCTTATGCCACGGGAAACAGCGACAGTCCCTCTGGGTGTCTTTTGCCACCAGGCAGGAGGAAGGGTGTCTGCCCAGCCGGCTGGCAGCAGAGGGGTGAGGTGGGAGAGGTGCGCATCGCTCCAGGACTCACCTAGCTCAGGCGGTTACTGCTGCTTCGCCCATGTAATGTTTGCCTACTTCAGCGGCTCAGCTTTTATAGGGTACTGCTGGCCGGGAACTGGTGCCAGCGTTTGCAGAGCCGTCAGCACAATGCTTGCTCTGGCATTGTCCTGCTGATCCCCGGAGATTTCAGCTGCTCATCCCCATGGTCTGAGCCACATTCTTAGGGAAAAAGAAAAAAAATTTGATAATAAAAAAAAAAAATAATCGGGGCTGCTGTTTGCACAGATAATCTTGGGCACAAATGACTCAACGATTTGACCGCGCTGGCATTTTCCAGGGGCAATGCACCGCGCCGTCACGGGGTGAGCCTGGGGGCTGGCCTGGCCCTGGCGCCAGTTGGCACCGTGGGGACAGCAGGGACACCTCCCCGTGAGACCCTGCGGGTGGTGGGCTCGGCAGGGTGTCTGCCAGGCACTGTCACTTCGCTTCACCACCCAAGGCGTGTTCCTTATCACCGTGTTGGCGTGGACACCCTCCTCCCATCACGGGCGAGGAAGCCTGGAGGTGAGAACTGGCGTGGCCCTGGCAGACATGTCCCCACGACCACACCGAGCCCCAACGCTCCCCCACAGCGCTGCCAGCACCACAACCCCACACCCGAGACCCCTTCCACGGCCTTGGGGAGGCCTCGGCCCTGCGATCACCACATGCAGCAGCCCCGCAGCCCCCTCGTCATGCGGGGCTCCCGTGGGGCCGACACTGCAGGCCCTGGGGCACCATGGCGGGCACAGCGCGGGCCGTCGGGGGTCACGAGGCGAGCGTGGCGGCGCGGGCTGCTGCCTCAGCGCATGGCTGCCAGCACAAAGCTCGCCCGCGTCTGACTGCCCCTTTTGTCTCCCGGCTGGGCAGGCGCGGCCGCACAAAACAAAGCGCCCCGTCAGCGCTGCCTGCGGCGTGGCCTGGCGCCCGGCCCGGGGGACCCTGCGGGGACGCGCGGCGGGGTGGCACCCGACCAGACAGGCCTGGTGGGGCTCAGCGGGGTCCCGGGGAGCCCTGCTGCGGGCAGGGCGCTGCCCCGATGGGGGAAGATGGGGTTTGCGGGGGTCCTTCCCCTCGCTGGCTGCTGCGGGGTGGGTGTCCCCGCGGGGATCGCTGTGACACAGGGCCGTGGGGCTGCGCCCCCGAGGCCTGGCGCGACAGCTGGCAGTACCACCGCATCCCAAATTTGGGTCAGCGAAGGGGAAGAGCAGGACCACCTGTCCTCTGCAAGGTGGTGGGATGCTCCTGGGAAACCGAGCCAGCACGCTCCCTGTGCACATGCTGGGCATCCCGGCTGAGGGAGCAGGTCAGCTCGGAGCTCGCCCTCCAGCCCCTCGGACATGCCCTGGTCACGGCTGCGGCCACCCCAGAGTGTGGAGGCTTTGCCAGGAGCCTGGAGCCACTAGAGGGAGAGCTCAGCCCGAGCAGGATGGGACAGCACGGGCGCATGTGGGTGTACAGCGGGTGTGTGGCACTGCACACCCCTCTGCGCCCCACACGGGCACCTGCCTCGCCTTGCTACAGCAAAACTGTGTCTGGCTGAAAACCACCCCAGAGCAAAACCTGGAGCTGGCAGCCACCCCAAGCCAGGGGCAAGGTGGGGGGAAGCAGCCTGCACAGCCCACTCTGGTCATGGCCAGGGATGGGTCACTCTCAGCAGATAACAGGACCCCAGTATGCCCAGGCTGCTGTGGACCCCCAACCCCTCACCCTGCTGGTGGGGCAGGTGTCCCCCCCCAAGGGAACACAGCAGCAAGTGCCTGGGGAGCCAGTGATGCTGGCAGGTCCACAGGTTGTCCAGAACAACTGGTTTTTCTAGATCCAAGAGACTATAAAAATGCAGTGACCTATTTAGGGAACCCCGCGGTGCTGCAAAACAGATGCTTCCCCTCCCAGCCCAGCTCCGGGCCCTTGTCCTGGCCAGCCATGTGCGCCTGCCAGGGGCACATAAAATGCCACTGGCACCAGAGCTCTCTCCTGCTTCTGCATAGAAAACCCTGGGCAACACAGAGAGTTTCCTTGGATGTGGGATTTGCTGGTGCCTGGGGAACCCTCTGCCAGGAGAGCTGCTCAGGGCAACCCAACCTGTTTCTGGCAAAGCCAGATGGGATCACATGGACAGGAACAGCTGGTCAGTTTGCTGGAAAACACAGGGTGATTAGCTCTGGGGATGCAGCACGAGAGTGGCCCCAGTGGGTGGCTGAGGGTGGCAGAGCTGTGTGGCACAGGGGACCCTGTGCTGTCCCACAGCTCGGCAGTTCCAACCGGCATCAGCCCATCACCACCTGCCCAGTGTGATAAGGAAGAGGAGCTGCCTCAGGCTGTAACTGGCTGTTCAGCCGCCTGAGCAGGGCAGAGCTACAGCCACACAGTGTGTCCCTCGCCACTGCAGCTGGAAAACCCTCCTGAAAGCTCAGACAGGCTCTGCTGCCCTTCCAGATCACTCGACCCCATCCCCGCTCTCCGGATGGCTGCGGCTCCCTGCACTTGGTGCCACGTGCCTGGGACAAAGGACAGTGTGACAAAAGCAGGCGGTTGTGCTCACTGCCGCCGTCCTCGTCCTCCGCCCTGCACTGGCTGCATCTTCTCCACCACTGCATCCCTCGGGCCAGGGCCCAGCACAGGGCTCCTTGCTCAGCTGCCAGCTTGCTCTGCCATGCCCCAAAGGGCCTGCTCTGCTGCTGCTGTGGGGCTGCGTCCTGGGCACAGGCTGTGGGCTGGAAATCACAGCCAGCTTTACCACTGCAAAGGAGTGGGGCTTGTGACACCCAGACACGTGTGTCCCAAGAGAGGCTCACAGCCTGATGGCAGGAGAGCCAGGACCACACGACTCAGCCAGCGATGATGGTAGGATGGCAGCAGGGGTTTGGAGAGAGTCCCCTTGGGTAGGGGACTGTTCCTGTCATCTCTCTGAGCTTCCCAATTAGAAATTGAGCACTGCCTGAAAAGTGCTTTTGGAAAGAGCTTGTGAATGCCTCCCTCAGGTTTCCCTGTTCCCAAAGCCACTCTGCAGCTTCACTGGGCCCAGTTGCTCCCACACCCTATAGGAAGGGAGGTTGTCCCAGCACTGATATGGCAGGGCTTATCCTGAAACCATCTGTCCCAGGATTCTCACTGTATGTGACATCCCAAAGCTGGACACCAGTGGAAGGGGTGTAACAAAGACTGTGCCGCTCTCGCTGCTGGGTGTGCTGGGAGATGCCCATTGTTAACCCTGGGCTGTCTCCTGGGCAGAGCAGCCACTGTCCTCACAGTCAGCCCCTGACTGCCAGGCTGCCAGCCCTCGCTGGGGACAGGTGCTGCGGGAGAAGCTGCAGAATGGCTCCACAGGCAGCTCTGCCATGGCCAGCTTTCTATTCCCTGCACTGGGGCCAGCAGGCACCCGTCACCCTGCTCCAGCCTGCAGCCTGGAGCCTTCCCTGCCTGGATCCCGTGCTGTTCCTGACGGGATTCTTCCGAAAAGGAGAACCCCAGGAGTGCGCGTGTGCATTGTGCGATGCACGGGCTGCGTGTGTGCACCACTGCGAGCTCACAACGTGCGAGTGTGTGTGAGGATCGGGGGGTGTGTGCGTGCGGGGAGTGCCGACGGACGGCGTGTCACCGTGTCACACCGGGGGTGTGCACACACCGTGGCTGCGTCTGCGGGGGGTGCGGGGTCACCCCGGTCCGTGGGTGTGCGGGGGCGGCTGCGCCCATACCGGCTGAGCGCCGGGCTGCGGGCGCCGGTCCGTGCGGTGATTACAGCCGGGTTGCGGGTTCAGCGAGGTTCTCCGGTGGGCAGGACCGCCTCTCCGCTCCGTTCCGCTCCGTGCCGACCGGAGCCGCGCCCGGCGCGGCGGGCGGCGCGCGCAGAGCCGGCAGTGCCCGCCCCGGTGCGGGGCCGCCCCGGGCCGAGCCGAGCCGAGCTCAGCCGTGCCCGTGCCTGTGCCCCCGCGGCGTTGCACAACCGCTGTGGGTGGGTGCGGACCCCTAGGTGCCGCCCCCCGGTTGCGGGGCGCGGGTGCGCGCATGGCCCGCTCTTGTCTCGCAGCGCCTGTGCAGCCCCCGGTGTCACTCGTGTGCGTGTTTGCATGAGTGTGTCACCTTGTGCGGGGTGTGTTTCTGCTCGCGGTGTCCCCCCTGCAGGATGCCCCATGGCAGGTGCTCCGTGTGTTGGGTACCCCAGCGCCCGCTGCAGGGCTCCCGGGGCCAGCCCTGCTTCCAGGGAGAACCCGCTGGCCTGGGCCTTTCCCACACCACCAGGGAATTGCATCCAAAGCCATTAGCCCGGCTTGCCGCTAACCACATCGCTGCTGGGGCCGGTGCCACTGGCACCTGAGCCACCTTTTCAGAGTGACAGGGGTGGGTGGCACTCAGCGAGCTGCTGTGCTGGGGGTGGTGGGGGCTCGCAGGGCTGTGACCAGCCCCGTGCCTGTTAATTTTCCCAGAGAGGAATATATGGAGCATCGGGCGAGGGCTGGGACGCGCGTCCCTAAATCGTGTGGTTTCCAGCCGGCCTGTGAGATGCAAATTGTCTGGTCAGCGAGTGCCAGAGCTAAACTTAGGGCAATTACAGGAGAGTGTGGGCACATGGCAGTGTGTTCCTACACCCCAAGGCTGGCCCTGGCACTCTGACACTGGGGGACCCCTGGCCACTGCCCCATCCCAGCTCCCATTGGGATCTGGGTGTTCCCACAGCACCTGCATCAGCTCTGGACTTTGCCCACTGACGAGCTGTGGCTCGGCCCTTCACCTTTGCCGTGGGCTGGGCCATGCAGAGCACCAGGCTGTGAATTTGGGGCCAGATAAGGGTGATAAGGGTGATGAGGGAGGTGGGCAGCCTGTGCTGAGGGGACTGCAACCCACCTGACCCCTCCAGCTGGTCATGGAACCATGTCCCACCTGGCATTCCTGCCAAGATCCTGCCCCACTGCCTCTGGGTCTACCCTGTAAAGACCTCTTGAGCTGTGCCATTCCTCAGCTTTGAGGTGAGGCACGTGCTTGAACCCCATGCACCCTCCTGGCCTGGGGTGACCCCTCGT